ATTTTTAGTTTTCAACATTCCCTTCCACAAGATTTTGAGTTCCAAACTTTTTCCCCATTTCATCCCTCCCCCAACCCAAGACAGTGTGCATTCTGAATACCCTTTCCCCTAAACTGCCCCCCCTTCTATCTGCACCCCCCCCCCTTCTCTTATCCCCTTCCTCTTCTATTTTCCTGTAGGGCAGGATAGATGTCTATACTCCATTCCTGTATATCTTATTTCCCAGTTGCATGTGAAAACAATTTTTAACATTTGTTTTCAAAACTTTGGGTTCCAAATTTTTTCCCTTCCTCTCTCCCCACCCACCCTCATTGAAAAGGCAAGGTTATACTTGTGTAGTCATGCAAAACACTTCCATAATAGTCATGTTGTGAAAAACTAACTATATTTCTCTTCATCATATCCTGCTCCACTCCCCTATATTCTATTCTGTCTTTTGACCCTGTCCCTCCTCAGAAGTGTTTGCTTCTGATTACTCCCTCCCCCCATCTGCCCTCCCCTCTATCATCCCCCTGCTCTCTTGTCCCCTTCCCTCCTTTTTTCCTGTAGGGTAAATTAGCTTTCCATACCCAATTGAGTGTGTATATTATTCCCTCCTTAAGCCAAATCTGATGAGAATAAGATTTACTCATTCCCTCTCACCTATCCCCATTTCCCCTCTACTGTAAAAGCCTTTTCTTGTCTGTTTTATATGAGATAATTTACCCCATTCTACTTCTCCATTTCTCCTTCTCCTAATATATTCCTCTCTCACTCCTTAATTTTATTCTCCAGATATCACCCATTCGTCTTGAACTCCACCTGTGCCCTCTATCTATCAATCTATATATATATAATTTTTTCCCCTCCAACTCCCCTAATGCTGACAAAGGTCTCATGAGTTACAAATAACATCTTTCCATGCAGGAATGTAAACAGTTCAACCTTAATAAATCCCTTATGATTTCCCTTTCCTGTTTGCCTCTTTGTGCTTCTCTTGAGTCTTGTGTTTAAAAGTTGAATTTTCTATTCAGCTCTGGTCTTTTCATCAAGAGTGCTTGAAAGTCCTCTATTTCACTGAATGTCCATTTTTTCCCCTGAAGTATTATACTCAGTTTTGCTGGGTAGGTGATTCTTGGCTGTAATCCTATCTCCTTTGCCCTCCAGAATATCATATTCCAAGCTCTGTGATCCCTTAATGTAAAAGTTGCTAAATCTTGTGTTATCCTGATTGTGTTTCCACAATACTTGAATTGTTTCTTTCTAGCTGCTAATAATATTTTCTCCTTGACCTGGGAACTCTGGAATTTGGCTACAATATTCCTAGGAGTTTTCCTTTGGGGATCTCTTTCAGGAGGTGATTGGTGGATTCTTTCAGTTTCTATTTTGCCCTCTGGTTCCAAAATATCAGGGCAGTTTTCCTTGATAATTTCTTGAAAGATGATGTCTATTCTCTTTTTTTTTTGATCATGACTTTCAGATAGTTCAATAATTTTTAAATTCTCTCTCCTGGATCTATTTTCCAGGTCAGTTGTTATTCCAGTGAGATATTTCACACTGTCTTCTATTTTTTTGTTCTTTTAGTTTTGTTTTACAATGTCTTGATTTCTCATAGAGTCTCTAGCTTTTAATTTCTCCATTCCAATTTTTAAGGAAGCATTTTCTTCAGTGAGCTTTTGGACTTCCTTTTTCATTTGTCCAATTCTGCTTTTGAAGGCATTCTTATCCTCATTGGCTTTTTGGACTTCTTTTGCCATTTGGTTGGGCTATTTTTTAAGGTGTTATTTTCTTCAGTATTTTTTTGGGTCTCCTTTAGCAAGCTGTTGACTAATTTTTCATGATTTTCTTGCATCACTCTCATTTCTCTTTCCACTTTTTCCTCTACTTCTCTTACTTGCTTCTCAAAATCCTTTTTGAGCTCTTCCATGGCCTGGGACTGACTCATATTTTTATTGGAGGCTTTGGATGTAGGAGCTTTGACTTTGTTGTCTTCTTCTGGTTGTATGTTTTGATCTTCTTTGTCACCAAAGAAAGATTCTATAGTCTGACTTTTTTGCACAGTTTGCTCATGATCCCAGCCAATTACTTGCATTTTAAACTCTTTGTTAAGGTAGGGGTCTGCTTCCAGTGTGGAGAATGTACTGTCCTAAGCTTTGGGGGTTTTGTGCAGCTGTTTTCAGAGATACTTCTAGAGACCTGTAAATTTTCAGTTCTTCCAAGGTGATATGATAAAGGGCGTGCTGTTTACTCCTTTCCTAGACTGTCCTCTGGTCTATGAGTGACCACAAGCACTCTTTTGTGCCTTGGAACTGTGAGGAGGATTCCCTCTCCACTGTCACCACAAACTCCACCATGCCAGCACTCCTCCTCATCCCAGGATCACCATCCAGAACTATGACCCAGATCCAAGCATTGGCAAAGCAAGAGAATCCTGCCTCAGCACCAGCAAAGAGATCCCTGCAATCCCGCTCTGATCAGCCACTCAATTCCCCCTCAGTCTGTGGGCTAGAAGCTTAGGAAGCAGCCACCGCCCTAGGGCTGTAGCCGGGACTGGGGCTGGGACCAAGCTTCTCTCTCACCCCAGTCACAGACTTTTCCTACTGACCTTCTAAGTTGTCTTTGGCGTTTGTGGGTTGAGAAGTCTGGAAACCGTCACAACTGCCTGTGATTCAGTCCTCTGAGGCCTGGTCCAGGTTCGCTGAGGCCTGTTTCGCCTGTGTGCCCAGGCTGAACTGCGTTTCTCTCCCAGTCCAGCACAATAGACCTTTTTAATCAACCATCCAGGTTGTCATGGGCTAGAAATTTGTTTCACTCTCTCTTTTTGTGGGTTCTGCTGCTTTAGAATTTGTTTAGAGCCATTTTTTACAGGTATTTGGAGGGGTTTGAGGGAGAGCTCAAGCAAGGCACTGCTTTTATTCTGCCATCTTGGCTCCGCCTGCCCCCATGGACTTTTCTTGCCAAAGCTACTGGAGTGGTTTGTCATTTCTTTCTCTAGTGTGTCCCCATTTTACAGATGAGGAACTGAGGCAAATAGTGGTTAAGTGACTTGCCCAAGGGTAACATAGCTAGTAAGTGTCTGAGGCCAGATTTGAAATCAGATCTTCCTGACTCTGAGCTGAGTATTTCATTCACTGCACCATCTAGTTGCTCTAGGCTACTTATTAGCTGTCTCCTAATCTTGTCTTTTTTCTCTACCACCTCTGTGCATTTGTATAGGTCAGTCTCTTATGCTAGGAACGAATTCTTTCCTCAATTCCACTTTTTTTATTTTTCAAGATCCAGGTCATCATAGGTACCTCCTCCCTGAAGCTTTCCCTCATCCTACCCAATGCAAGAATTTTCCTTCCTAAAATTTTTTATAGTTCTTTGCCTGAATCTCTCCTTTGCCCCTATCACATTTTTTCCTGGCATCATACTTATTGGTGATGTATGTCTTGTATCTCATTTGATTATAAGATCATTGAGAGCAAAATATTGTGATGTTTTCATCTTTGTTTCTTCAAAATCTAATACAGTTCCTGAGTATTGTATTGTTTCTTGGACTGAATTTATTTAAAGTATATGTTGAGAGAAATTATTATTTCCCTCTTATCTCAATAACCAATTACCAAATTAGGACTAAGGATTTTCCCCTTTTCTATTTCCTCATTCAAAAATCAGCCCCTGTGGTTTATTCAGGCAGCCTTTGAAATACAGGGCTGATAAGGAAATTTAATCTTGGGTGAAACTTACTCAATTAGGAAACTTAGATGTGATCAAAAAGTAAAAAAATTCTAGTCTAGGGTAAGTGGATTCCCCCTTTAGTCTAGATTGCCCTAGTCGGGGTGGGGGGAGGTAGTCTGATATAGATAATTCTCTTGGTCCAAGACTGAGTGATCAGTCACATTCCCCACACTCTTATTAGAATAAGCCCACCTCTAATAATATTTATTCTCTAATTACTTGTTAACCAATCAGAGTTTATTTCCACCCTCAGGAACATTCACTTTTCCAAGGGCATGTAAGTGTGGGTGGGTTCCATGAATGGTCTTTGGTTTCTGAGATGGCCTAATGACCATCCTTTTAATACTACTCACTAGCCATAATTAATAAAATGATTAATCACCCAGAAATTATGTCTCTCAAACTTTTTATACATCATAATATAGATAGGACTTGGATAGGAAGAGGAGAAGAGTGAGGGTATTACAGAAAAAGAAATATAGCCTGAGCAAAAGTATTGAGGTAGGAAGGACCAAGATAATATGAGAACAGTAGCTTGACTGGGTTGAGTAGGTGTTATGGAGTCATGGGAAGTAAGGGTTGGGAGACATGTAGTATCAGAGTAGAATCAGGTTTGGATTTCATATAGTAGATGACAAGACTCTTTTGGGTTCTTGAGTAGTGGAATGACATGATGAAAGCCATACTTTTTTATAAAATTGACTGAACAACAACACGTAACTCTTTAATGTTTTCATTGCCATACACAGCATGTGTGTGCATGTCTGTGTGTGTGAGTGCACACAGACACACACAATCATTTAATGCTCATAAAGACTTTGCATAATTGATAGTATAATTTCCTCCTCTTTACAGATAAAGAAACGGAGGCTGAGAGGTTAAGTGACTTGTCTAGGATCACACAGCTTGTAAGTACTTGAGGCAGGATTAGAAAACTCAGTTCCAGTGTTCTATCTACTATACCACTTAACTGACTTGAATATTCAGCTGGAATAGGGACCATTTTGAGAAAGTTGATTCCTTGAGGACCCTAACTCAAACTCTAATCAGTATTAGTCAGTTTATTATGATTCCATAAGAGTGGTGATTATGTGTTCTGTATATTTGGCCCCAGAGTTATGAGTTGCAGATTGTAAATTCACTTGCTTAACATAGGAAGTTAACCAAAGGTCTCCACCCTTGTATTTCCTTGTTATGGTGATCACGCCCCGTATGGTGGAGGTGACTCAACTACAGGGGAAGTCCCTCAAACTTATTTCTGTACCTCCAGACCATTCTTTCTTGTTCAACGTGAGCAGGTGTCCATCTTTTGACCACCTCTCAGTGGAGATATTCCTTGTTTTGCCCAACCTATGATGCTGCTGATGTATTATATGATTATTTTTGCCTATGCGTCATATGTCAACCAATGGAATTATCCTGTATTTGGTATACCTGTTCTTGAATGTTTAGATATCTAATCCTATAAAAATAGGACCCTGGAAGGAGGGGGCATCTGAAATCATAAGGAAGATCTGAGGGCCATTTCATTAGAAGGGATCATGGACCCTTTAATAAAGTGCCATTGGCCCAGAGCTCTGCCTCAGTTTTTCTTATTGTAGGTTAGAGCGTTTTTTTATTAACACATTGCTGGCTACATTATTTTATTACCATATTACATCCTGAGATGGGATGGTGAGGCACCCCAACCTCTTTTGGCTGGCCCCTACAAGGGACCCAAAAAGAGGAAGTGCACACTGGATCAAATTTTTGATGATGGCTCCCTCACAGACACCAGCCCTTGGAGGCTGGACTCCCCTCACTGTCTGCACGCAAATTCTCTGAGCCTGAGGTAAATCTCTTCAAGATTGGTGAGTCTGCCTTGATTTATCCTAAATTCATTTTTCTTTAAGAAGGGTCTTCTATTGGGCTAATAGGAACTGTTTGAATTTGTGACTAATCTGTCTAAATTTATAAGCTCTGGTGCACTCAAATTCTATTTTTTAATAAAATTTTTAATAAAAATTATATGGCCATAATTTTAACTTTTTAAACATAGGTTACTATATGTTTATCCTCCATTTTTCTTACTTTCATTTTGTTACGATCAAGGAGATTTAGCAGTAGAAGTGCTAGTTCCTCATTTTCAGTCAGCTAGCTACTAGCTAATTTAAAAACTTCCTGTTGGCAGGGTTAAATATATATATTTTTGCCTTTAAATTCTTTTAACAAGGAGTAATTAAATCATTCTTGTCATTAGTAGAAAAATCTCTTAAACTGGTTGAGGGCAACTTTTGGACCCTGATTGATAAATCTTATAAGGAAAGATCTTCCATGTTCCCTGTATGACTCTAAACATTGGGCTGTAAGTCAGAGTGTGGTTATCTATGTTGACCTGAGAATTTAGCCAGTTCTCAGGAAAAGATGTGCTCTGGGAACCTGGCCAGTTCATCAGAACATATCAATTTAATTAATATTCTAAGATGTTTTGCTTGCTCCAGGAACGTGTCCAGTTCCTGAATCAAGTGAAAACATCTACTAGAATCGTGGACATCTCTGGCACGGGGCCTTCTTTGTTAGAGGCCCTATTTAAATCCTAATTGGGAAAGCCATCTTTGGATTCTCACCCATGGAGAGGACGCTTTGCCTGGGACTTTCCCAATCGGGACCCTGAAAGCTGTACCCCAGGCATCCCCAGCTTGGACTTCAAGTGTTGGTGCTTCCCCGAATTGGCGATGTTTTCTTATATTATTGCTATCCTTTGTATTCTTAGCTTGACTATAGTCATATTGCTAATTGTATGTTGCTGTAAATCTAGCTTTTCTATGCCTGTATTATAATCTTAATTAAAGCTATCTTCACTTCTTTCTCTAGAAGTGTGTCTTATTGTAGGAGGAATCCGAACCACATTTTTCTTCCTTAATCACACAGACCCTTAGGGGAGAGATTCCCAACCTCAACAGTAAGCTGTCAAGGCTATGACCATCCTGGGAGCAATCCCACCCTCTTGTTTTTTTTTTTGCAATTCGGATTAAGTGACTTGCCCAGGGTCACACAGCTAGTAAGTATCAAGTGTTTGGTCTGAAGCCCTGAGGCCGGATTTGAACTCAGGTCCTCCTGACTTTAGGGCCGGTGCTCTGTCTACTGCACCACCTAGGTGCCCCAATCCCACCCTCTTTCCACCTGAGAAGAAGGCTATTTTAATTTTACAGATATGAGGAAAGGAAAAGGTTATTTTTACTTATATTTGCTTAGAACTAAGTCAGTTATTGACAATCAGACCTAAATTTTCAGGAAGTTTTAAAGGAAAGTAGGTATAAATTTTGCTGAATGTTCCGTTATAAAGGACTGTTAAGCCCTAGTTGACTGGTCTTAGGACCCTAAAGGTTAAGCCCAGAAATAAATTGGAAGTATTGGAGAATTTGCCAAAACAAATCCTTAAACATTTGAGTGTTAGTTGTAGGAAAGACACTCATGTAGGCGAGTCTCTGGTGGGTTGGAAATTATCTCCCTTGCTTGATTTTGACAGCCTGGGAAAAGGGTGGACTTCCTGTTCAGAGGTAAGGGGAGATATCCGAGGGAGGTAATCTCCAGTGTCTTCAGTTGGGGAGCTTCTCAGAAGGAATGGTTAATAACAGAGGTCCTCAGAAATCTAGTCCAATTCTGTCAAGGAAAGTTTCTCCAAAAAAGTGCTGCTCCTGTTTGGGGCTGCCTGCAGGAGAGATGGGGTCGGGTAGAAGAGGAGAAATGCATTCTTACAGGCTCTCCATTGGGTAGAATCTTGGCAGCCTGGGAAAAGGGTGGGCTCCCCGTCCAGGGTGGGATGACTAAAGAAAGAGCTATTAAACTGTATAAAGTTTGGTTTGAGAATACAGAGAGTTTGGGAAACTGTTTTGGCCAAAGCATGGGACTTTTGATTAGTTAGAAAGTTATGGAATTTTATTGAACAACCTCCCAAGTCAGCTTAGAATAAATGAACTATTGATATTGTTCAATCTTTCATCAGTCTCAGTTTCTCTTCCTGTGATTATACTTTGGCAAAAAGTCTAGAGGAATGGAATTCTAACCAGCTCTTCTATCTATTAGGGACCTGTCCTAAATACAAAGTACACTTTAAGTGGGTGAACCCAATTGGCAAATTAGACTAAAGCAATTTGTATTGTTACTAAATCAGATGCTTTATTGATAAGATTCTAAAAACATTAACATGATTAGGAAACAAAAGAATTATCTTAGGCTGCTAGCAGAACTCCAGCTACAAGATGGCCATAAGTTTTTTTTAAACTATAAACCTAAAAACAGTTATTTATTCCATCTTTGTAATTTCAAATGTTACAGAACATGATAGACAATTAAGGCAAATAAAGTAAACAATTCCCTTCATCTCAATTAACCATGTACAAGTGTCATGGTATTCAAGGGGCATTGTAAACAACCCTTTTCCAATAACCCATCTTGGATAGTCTAGAGCTTAGCTGTGAGAGGTGCCTTTTCCATCACAGCATTTTTTAATAGTCACTATTACTATTCATGAATCAGACTGAGGATCAATAAAATCAGATTTCTGTGTATTTTAGTACTTTCATAGCTAAATTGACAAGATTTAGAGGAAACTAGGAGTCATCTTAGTTTGTGTGCTTAGTATTAAACTTTGGAAGCTCAAAACGGTTTGTTAGAAACCTTCAAGAACTTCCTGTTTTTTGTTCCATCTGAATCCTCTTTTTAAAGGCAGATCCCTTTTTGACTAGCTCCCCACCTGTAACCATTTTTCAGCCTTTATCCAAACAAAACAGTTGCCATTTCAATACTGGAGTCAATCCCAGAGCATCAGAGGTGTGCTTCTGGGGGGAAAATAACCCAAAGCAAAACTTTATCTAATATTTAGCAGCGTGGAGTCAGCATTCAGGACAACCTACCCATGCTGACTCCTGTATTGATATTTATAGGCAAACCGTACTGTAAGTACAGCAGATTAAGTAACATTCTGATCATCTGAAGAAACATTCTCTTATGCCATGTTTGATATTGCAAGATGCCACACCTGCTGAGTGTCATCCATCACCTGCAAGCAAATAATAAAGGTTTATATGACTTTTTTGTAAATAAACTTAAGGTAACCTTCCTCTGAAAAGCTCGTAAAATCAGTGGTCAAAGATAGTCATAAGTTCTGTAAGAAACATGTAAGATTTTGACTTCACAATATTCTGGAGGAAAACTTAGGAGAAATTCAGGTCTGATTTAATGTTGTATCTTGTTATATGTTCTGTGTGTGTCTGTTTGAAACTAAGTTTAGGAATAGTGGGTTCTTTATTTCAGATAGAAAGCAACCTTATATAATTAAGAAAATCTTTAAGAGAATGGGAAATATGTGGCAGTTTTATCTGTGCTATTCATGCTTTGTGCTAAAGTGTAACTAACCTATGTTTTACCTATATCTTTTCTTTCAAACTTTCAAAAAGGTTTAAAAGAGGACACATCTCTCTTTTTTCTCTGTTCCTAACACTGGCCATGTTGAAGATTAATAAGATGAAAGATATACAGAAATTAACTGAAAACTAAGATACTAAAAAAGGATTCGAAATTTGTTAAAAAGGAATAGTTATTTCTTTCACTTCTAAATTATAATTTAGAATGTCTTGGATGTCTTTATAAAGTATTTTGATGAGTTTATGGGGTTCTAGCAAACTCTGTAGAGTTTAATGAAAAACAGCAACAACAACTCACAGGTCAGTTATTTCTTAAAAGGGGATTTAAAATGATGGGGATTGTTTTGAAGCTGAAGTTTGCATTTTAAGAACTGTCTTAATAGTCATGAGATATGTATAGGAGAAATTCAGTGAAATAGGAATTCAGATAACAAAAACTTAGGGAACAACATAGGAGAAATTTGATTTGATATCTTGTGACCTTAAATAATTTAACAGCTCAAAATTTAAAAAGGAAACACATTTGCTATGCTTGAAGAAGTTTCAGTTAGTGGCTAGGCAATCTCTAAGTCTGAAGTTTTGGGGTATCAATCTGTGAAATTGGTTTTAATTTTAGTGTAGAATAGAGACATACTTTAAAACTGTACTTAAAGTTGGGATAAGTCTATTGCAGGAAGGGATTTTTATTATTAGAAGGTAGAATAAGGAAATTTTAGACCATCTTCAAGAAAGAGTAAAAGTGGGTAGAAGTAGAATTCATTTACCCTTCTGTTGTTTACTGCTTTTAAACAATCAACCTGAGGGTACAAGCAAATCCTGACTAGGTATTCCAGATTGAAAGTGATTCCCAAAGCATTCCCAGAAAAAGAAAACTTGTTTTGAAATCAGAAAGCAACCGAAGGTAAGTGAGATTTAATGATACTACTGCTGTTTAAGTCCATTGTTTAGGTAAATTAGAAACACAGTAAAACATGTTGAAATCAATTGGTTAGTGAAAATAAATTCAAATTGTATAAATAAGCCTATAGTAAGTTAGGGAAAGAATTATTGAAGATAGAATTAAACAAGAAAATAGATACAGAATAAATTAAATGCATGCACACCTATTAGAGGGTGCCACCAAGGAGGGCCTCCTTGAGGATATCTTAGTCTTATGAGCCTGGACACCAAGTCTGTGACTAGATCTCCAAAAGCCTCTAATAAAGGCTGAAAAGGATTAAACCCCATGACTCTTCAGGACAGGGATCCCCTATTTCCCAAACCCTAAAAATATAAGGTATAGTTTAGTGTACATGAAGAGGGGAAAGGGCAATGCTGCGGGCATTGACTGGAGGAGCTGGACACTGTGATTCTAGTTTCAGAGAACTGGGGCCAGCGGTGGGGCCCTGTAACCCATTAATAGGGCCTTAGTAGTTTTCATGGTATTATGGCTGATTACAGCCACA